GGAGAAAATTAATTAGCTCTGTCTTCTAAGATAGTTATGCATCTTGCCCTGGAAATTAATATTAGCCAAAGAAGCTATTTAACACAAATAAATTGTTTACCAAGTTTGTATTAATGAGGCTTTTGAGTTTATTTTTTCAGAAAGGAATTTTTAATGGAATGACTCTGTGAAGTTTTAATATAACCGATTATTATAGCCTGGCTGTAAAATGTTGAATAATACCTTCGTTCAGTGACAGAATGTTAGGTTGATCTAGGTTGGTGCTATTGGTGTTAATTCTAGAGGGTGTTTTTAAATCTTGCACTAGTGCTGAAAAATATTCTTGAAGCCGATTTTAATGGCATTGCCCATACAGGTCAAAGAAAAATGACTTGCAAGTCATTTTTTGAGTGTATTACTGGCTATAGAATACAGTACCCTGAACAAAGGGATCTTGGGCCTATTACTAAGGGGTTTGGAGGTGTCATAACACTTTTTTTCCCCTTTACCCAGCAACATAAATACATTCCCATTAAGTATATAAAAGGGAGTGTAAAACCTTACAAATTCATATATTGGTTTGAATTGCTTCATTAGTTTGAGGTGGGTCTCTGCTGCTGGTGAAGTTAAGGTGAAGGTAGTTTTAAGTGAATGACATATGGAAGCTATCTTCTGAAGGGCTACAGAGACTGGTTTTTATCTTCAGCTGAGCAGTATTTCTAGCACACAGAATATGTTTTTGGATGTTTCGTACTTTCTGTTAGATCCTGGAATTTTTCCTAGATGAGCAAATCTAGGCACCTAGCCTCTGAACGATTTCTTCATGACTTAGGAACCAACAAAAAAAAGTGGGTCAACTTCTTGCACATGTCTTAAGCCATGGAAGAGTCCTGAGAGGACATGTGGGGGAAATCATAGGTGTGGAAGGCTGTGTTAATGAGTAAAATTAATCTGTAGTCATAAGACGTATTTGACATTTTCTTATAAGCTTGAATTTAGTGTGTCATGCTAAGTCTATAAGGCTGGCTGGATTAGAGTGAGCTTAATCTAACCACAGAGTGCAAAGTTCTTAAGAATAAGTATTTAATATCTCATTTTGAGAAAAATGAGGTGTCCAAAGCAGATGATATTACGAATGCCAAGGTCAAACTGAGAGGAGAGCTAAAAATTTCAGTTTTCTTTAGTGTGCATAGTTTGTCATAGGTAACTTACTGTTGACACATCCAAAACAGGTGGAACACCTTGTTTGCTTTTTAGATGTCAATGGGATAATGGAGTTATTAGAAATAGACTGAGCAGAACTGCTTGTCTCCACCTGTATTTTCTTGCTGTTTATTCCCGCCATCCTTTTCACGAGTAAACAAAAGTAGTTGCCAAGTGGGACAGTAGGAGGAAGCTTTTTAGTTGCCATATGGCATTTTAATGTATATTAAAATACTTTAGCAGCATGAGAGCAGTAAGAGATGGGTGTAAAATGCTATGTTTAGTTGTTTTCTAGTATAGAAATTAAAACTCGGAAGTGCAACACTACTGCTTTTCTGTAGGTAGTAGTCAGTCAAGCAAAACGCTAACAGTTCTGTTTTCAACTCCTGAACATGTTCTTAAATGTATTCTACTGGGTGGTGTTACCCAGAGTGACCTCTGCCTTCTCTTTTCTCTGTGCTGTTTTTTCTATTTAGGGAAAAGGATGCGTTCTGTAAAGTAACAGCAAGAAGAACTGGAGATATTTTTTCATTATGTCTGTAGCTGCTTTTTTTGCGTATCCTTTGCATAGAAATGCTGGTGGATGTAATAGCAATAACTTTTTTGTTTTAATACTGACACAGCCACTTTATTTTAAAGTTATTTCCTTCCTTTCCTTATTCCCTAGTTTTTTGGAGCTTTTGATCTTCCATTTCATACATAGTGTAGTAAAAAGCTGTTCACTTCTTGTCTGTTTTGCTCCTCCGGATTTACTCTCCCTATTCTAAACGCTAGTATGCAGTCAAGTGGGGGGAAATGATAACTTGTCTAATTTGATGCTTTTCAAGTGGAAATCTTGAACTTGTGTTTCATGCTTGAAGTGAGTTCAATCAAAGAACATTACTAAGGTCTGTGACTGCTTTCTGCAAAGAAGTACTCTGGTAGTTCCTTACTGCTAAAAGTTGTTCTGTAAGATGTCCATCTTTTTCACAGTGGGAGGACATCCCTGACACAGTCCTACAGGGGCCTGTGCTTACACTAATACTTTTAAAGACATTCATAAATGACCTGGAGAAGGGTACAAATTGTGAGGTGACAAAGTTTCTAATGGTGCTAATTTATTCAGGACAGTAGAAAAGAAGGCTGACTGGACCCCAGCCTACTGCTCAGAGGAGGGTCACCTATGATGTCAGACTAGGTTACTTAGGGCTTGAAAACCTCCAGGGATGGAGATTGTACAACCTTGCTGGGCAACTGGTTCCACTGCTTGGCTCTCCTCATGGAGGGGATTTCTCCTTACCTCCAGTCTCATCCTCCCACCGTGCACCACTGTCAAGAGCCCAGCTCTGCCTTCTTAATGACCTCCTCACTGCTACTGACATAGCAGTCCCAATCCACATAGGCACTGCTATCAGGTCCTCCTGAAGCCGTGTTGTCCTCAAGTCCTTCAGCCTGTCTGCACCAGGCAAGTGTTCCAGCCTCCTGACCATCTTGGTGATCTTCCTTGCTGCAATTACCAATGTCTTGCCTATATTGGAGGCTCAAAACTGGATGCAGCAACTCTGTGTGACCTGGTGAATGCTGACTGGAGAGAGATAATTACTTCCCATGATTATTAGCTTTGCTTCTGATAATATAGCCCAGTGTGTTCTTTGGAGTGTTTGCTACCACGGCACACTGATTTTCAGGAATTGAACAATTACTGGACAATGCAGCTGTATGCTTTTTTCCTAGTATAAACTGCAGCTATATTTCCTGTGCAACACTTGGGAAGAATATATATTCTATATAAATAGAAGCTGTTGATTTTTCTGTACACAAAAATGCAGCTTTTAATATGCACACACACACATGAATTACAGTTGTGAAAGATGGTTGTATCTTATGCATAAGGGGAAAAAAAAGAAAATCTTGTGCATTTTGAGCATATTCTTTTGTAGCTTGAAAGTGTAGCTCTAGCACTTGTAATAGAAGATAATGCTTTATCAATCCGAGGCATGAATTTCAGTGCCAAAGGTTTAAAAGTCATCCACGCAGATAAATTAGTGTCAGCTGATATTTCGTAACTGTCAGTGGGATAAGTACAAAGTAATTTGAGTTAGCTCAGACCTTTATTGCTGGTGTTTAATGCTAGACTCTTCAGTGCCAGCCCCTTAGACGCACATAGTTATGAACTGAAATGCATGCAGTTTATGTCCAGCTCCATTCTCACAGGAGCTGAGAGCTGTCTGTTACAGATCCAAAAGTATGACTTGGATCATACTTGGATGACTTTGGATGACAGATCCAAAAGTATGACTCTATGGAAGAGTTGGATACAAGATACCTAAGAATGTAGTGCAGTGCATCTCCAGAAGTAGCTTCTCTTGGCGTGTCTAGTGTGTAATCTAAGTAGGAGCATAAAGCACTTCCTTTCCCAAATGAAGATTAAGAACTCCAGGGGAAGACGGGTTTCTTTTGCTTGTCCTACCAGAGGTTGTATTTAGTCCATGCAAAGAGATGTGAATGAATTACATGCTCGAGGTTTGAAGACTTCTTAATGTGACACCTGTTAAAAGGGAGCCCCTAGTTGTAGCATAGAACCCATGAGTTTTGTTTTCAGTTGCTGAGTGGTGTGGATGAGGGAACATTAAAAATTATTAAGAATTGCTGTGCTTGACTGTTTGACTATAATCATATAAAATTCTCAGACTCCTCTTAATTTCCTTTATATTTTGATGCAGCTGGTCAAACATGGACTGAGTGTATTTCCCCTATAATGTGAGAACGTACCATAGTTTGGTTTAAAGTAGCTGCCCAGGAGCAGTCTTACTATGGCAGCAGATCCAAACTACTTTACTACTTTGCCCCTTTGTAAAGCTGGAATGAATTTAAGGAAATAAATTTTAAGATTGGAAGTTATTACTTGGTTTGGTTTGGTTTTGTTTTGTTTTTAAGCTGACACTATCAGGGAATGTCAGAAATCCTTATTCATCACAGTTGTGTACATTCTCTGGACAGTGTCTTCACTGTCTCCTCAAGTCAAATCTGTAAGAGCTTCATTTGAGCTCCAGTGAAAAACTCCTTGCAGAGAACTTGGGGTTATGAGGAATATAGCTTGTCCTAGATTTGCTGCATTTGCAGCATCCTTAACTTGTGTCTGCTCTTACTGTAGAGATAGGTGATGGCATAAAACACTGCTTTTTGGTTGAAAACATGGCTTGCAGTATGATTTGGATTTAACATTGTATTCCAATATTGGCTCCAATACTGTCACATATCATAGTTTTCTGAAGAAAAGATGGAATTTAACAAATACAGGCTTTTCTTTCACTGAATATATCAATGTAGATTTATGTATGGTGTTCTTTTTTGATTAGTGCCCTATTTCAGTATGACTACCTATGCTTTTTAATAAGTGATTAGAAATGAAAGTTGACGAATGATTTAGGGTACCATGAACATATGTATGTGAATTGGCTCTCTTCTAAGTTTTTTTTAAGAAAGTCACATTAGGAGTTGTTAAGAACTATATTTTCTGAAGCCACATGACTATTGGTAGAGTGTTTCTTTTGCATATTGCAAGGGCTATATCTAGGAAATGTATTTAAAGGTATTTCTTAAACTAGGATCAGTGCGCTTTAGTAGAAGAGCTGTACAGTGAATAAGAAACTGGCTGTAGCGTACATGACAATAGGTGTTGTGTTTGGGGGGGGGAAAAAGGTTACTATTCAGTTTCCTTAGGTATCAGTATTAAGAGCAACCTTGCTCCACTTAGATGAAAATGAAGTAAAACGTTCTGTTGTTAGCACAAAACCAATTCTTTAGGAGATATAGTCAATACAAAGAAGCGTTAGAACATGGTGCAGAAAGGACTCGACAACCCCAAAATAATAGATGTAGTATGAAATTAAGGTGTGGTTTTTAAAAGGGGGGAAAAAAAAAAAAGATGTGTTGATGAACTTGAACCCTAAAAACAAGTTTCTACTGTAACTTGAGAGCTGCTCTGCTGGAAGCAATTGGGGAGGACAGTGTGGATGGATTCAGCAATTGGAGGATAATGCTAAGTTACCAGTGTGATTCTCGGGTGAATGTGTTGAAGTATTTTCAGTACAGAAAGGAAGGCTTATTGCTGTTATATATAGCCATAAGACCTTACCTGGAGTACTGCATACAAGCCTAGTCATTCATAATTGAGAAACATGAACTGAAGCTAGAACAAGTACAAACAAGGGCTGTATTTTTTTTTGCAGTACAAAAATATCCTGAAACAAAGAGCTGTATGGAGTAAGAACACAGGATTGCAGTGTGACAGGACAGCGGAGTCTATTCTTTGGCTATCATGGGCAACACATTCCTTTTCCCCAACTTAACTGAGTTCCACTCTAAAAATAGTTAGGATGCTGGCCTTTGTTACTCCCTTTAGAAAGCTATTCAGAATGCATGGTTAGAAACACTTCAGGATCATAGATTTCACTAAGTATAAATTAAGACTGAAGTAATGTTTCTGAGTTTGCTTATTGACTTGTTTTGGTCAGTATGAAGAACTTTTAACTTATAAATACTCTTTTGTTAAGATCCTAGAGCTTTCTCTGATTATCATTTACTCAATTCTTTTCTTGTCGATCATTTTAAAATTATGTGTATTTTCAGTAATAACTTTATCAAATATTTACAAAATTGTTCTCAATTCTGACAGAAGTAGAGGGATAATTACACTAAGATACATTGTTACACCTAGTTGTTGAGTTGCAAAGTAGCTGTCATCTAAAACTGGAAATACAGCATTTGGCAGTTCATGTTACTGGACAGCTTTCTCCTGTTGTGCCCTCAAAGTACCTCAGTTATCTCAGTGGTACCGTATAAGTACAGACCCGCATTTTCATTGCAACCTTGCTATCACAGATGAAATAAAGTTCATCTACTTTATTTGAAGATACAAACAAGATTGCTGTTATTTTTATTCTTGTTTTAAATAAAATTAAACAAAAAAATGAGCTTAACTATATCTTTAAGTTTATTTTACACAGGAGTGGTGGTATTTGGGTCTGATAGTTTTGTTTTTTTTTTTTTAAAAAGAATTTTACTCGCCCTGTATATGTGATACCCAATTTTCAAAAGTGGATGCCTAAAATTAGATGTCTTTCTCTGTAGCCTTGGTCTAGTTTTCAGAGGAACTGGAAACCTAGAGAATGACTCTTCTTTCAGCACTGGCATTGCTTTTTCCGATACTGACAGGACAAGCTGTCAGAGTACTCTGAAAATCCAAGGCTGTTCTCAGTTTTTTTTGTTGTTCCTGATTCAAAAATTTACTAGCATTTTTTTTTATTAAATCTTAATAAAATTCTTTATTAATAAATTCTTTATTTAAAGAATTAAATTCTTTATCAAAACCCTTTCCTCTTTGAAGCATCCTCTGGAAAGTTGGAGTGGTGAACTCTATTCAGATTAAATATTTGAATTCAGAGATCTAGTTATGAAATCTAATTTTCAGCATCTGTATTTTAGATATCACTGCTGTGCGTTGCCTGCTCAGAGGATGAGCGCAGTTGCCACTTCAGACCTATGGCACTGTAATACTGCTGGGGGACATCCGTAGGGCAGTTGCAGCCACCCACATGTCATGCTCAGACACTTGGCTATGCTTTGGGGTTTTTTTGTCTAAAATGAATGACTACACAAAAGAAGTAAGATTCCCAGGTTATTTTTATTAGTAGTACTTAAAAAGTCTGTCTTTCCTGCTTGAGTGATACATTCTTTCCCCCTCTGATTCTGATTTGGATGTAATATGCTTCTTTAGATGTAAATTTTTAAGGGATATCATCACTACCCTTGCTTTCACTTTTTCCTTTCACTTGGAGTAACTTTTTTACTCCTGACTTTTTTGAGACAGTAAATTCTTAAAGGCAACAAATCTTTAAATGACTGATTAAAGAAATAGTTCAGCTGTTGCCCAGTGAAGTAATTTTGCAATTTCAGATCACGAAGGAGATTAAAGCTCACACTGAAGTAGAACACTTTTAGGGTGCTAATTATGAATTGCAGATCCAGGCAGGGCCTATTGAACAAAATACCTTGTACAGGTAATAGGGAAAACTCAATTAATAGTAAAAACAGTTTTGCCTGATTCAGTTGGTTAACTGCTGTTAACTGTGTATTAAGACTTACTTGGTGGCTACTAGTGTTGTGGACAAACAAAAGAATCTTAACGGTTTGGACTACTTCAGGTAGCTTCTCAGCCTGTGGTGTGTAGGTAATCTGTTTCCTGCAAGCTAATAAAAAGCAAAATACACTGTGCACTGTGACTGCTCAGGTACTAGTGAAGGGTAAGGGCCACAGCATCTTGGAATGGCATGCTTCGTTCTTGTTTCATTTCTGACTGATTAATGTTTTTAATAGGTATCAACAAACAAGATTAAGGAAGCAGTGTTGGGCCACTGATGCCTCATTCAGGAGCAAATAAGTTGTTTTTTTCTTTTTTCTTTTTGTTTCCCACAAAAGCTTGGAGGATTAAAACTGGCTTGCTGTTTGATTCCTTTCCTCCAAAATTTCCAACATATTTGTAGGTGTTTTGGTCTTACCTTATTGTATTGAAATTCTAGTGCTAAATCTTGGAAACAACTTAATGCAAGTCACACTGGGCTCAAGGTACATGTGACGTAAATAAGCTACCTACCTTAGGAGGAGGGAAATTGTGCCCTTGGCTTCTGACTGTAAAGGAAACATCATGTTTGACTAGCTCATGTTTGGACATCCACTGTAGGCAGATGAGTCGCTCTTGTGTGTATTGTTGCCTGGAATTTGTTTGGTTCAAGACATGATGGAAATAGTAAACATAACTGCTTTCTCCTTTTCACATATGTTGGTAGCTTACTCCAAAATACATCTTCAAGAGCCCATTGTATAAAATACTATTATCCTTCGGTTACATGTGAAGGGGATACAAAGCGTGGTAACTTTTACAACTCAAGTGGATTCAAACTTCAAAAAACAACCCAACCCACCTCACCCACCCCTCCCTCAAACAAAAAAATTGCACTGTAAATAAGGCTTTTTTTCTTAATTTTAGAGTAAAACTTGCTGGCCATATAATTGATCCAATGCCTGTTACTCTAATTAAACTGTTCTTACTGGTTTAACTTTCTATTAATAAATATAAACCATAACAGTGTTGACATTTACATAGAGTACACTTTTGTTGATCTGAATTCAATTTTAAATTGTTGATACTGGATTTCCTGTTTATTCTTATTATAATCCAGGCATTTCTTCACAACCTAATAAATGTAATGTTTTTTCTTCCAGATCTGTTTTCTCTTATTTGCTGTTCTCTACATAGTTTCCTACTTCATAATCACAAGATACAAAAGGAAAGCAGGTAAGCATAGACTTTTTAATATATTCAAAAATAATTTTGTTTTTCAAGTGAATAGGTGATTCTTTTTCTTTCTGCTTCCACAAGGAAAGCGGAAGAACTAGATCTCTGACCAAAAGTGTTTCTCAGGCTGCTGGTGTATGGCAGCCTGGACTGATCTGATTGTATGTGTTGCTGTCTTGCCCTCAACTCCCTTTGTGCCTGAGCCATGAGTTTCCATCGCCTCCCTTGTGCCCACTCTGGCACTTCTCAGACACTTCAATGTGCCTTCTAGTATCACTAACCAAGGGAGGGAGTGCATTGAAGCATCTCAGAAAAGGATCAGGGAGTGCTGTAGCTGATACTCTGAGAATGGGTGGCTGTTGTGGAGGTGGTGTGGATGGCCACAATCTGTTGTGGCTCTGTGGCAGACTAAATTTTAACGGTTTTGAGAGGGAATAAAAGGGAGAATTTCAAGTAGACGCTTCTGCCTTCCTTGCCTTTAGATCCTGTTGTTCTCCTTTTATGTCAGCTTTTCCAGAATAAGTATCTTCAGGCTGCGTTCTAGCACCAAAATCAAGTTCAAAGCTTTAGCTGGTAAAGGGAAAAGATTGCCAGTAATACAGAAGGGAAGTAGCGGATTCTTCTAAAAATCCTGCTTTGCTCAGTTACAGCTATTTCAGTGTTCTTAAGCTGTTCCTTATAACCTTAGCACTGAAGTCTTATTCCTTGAGATAACCCTGTATTTTTTTTTCCTTTAGAAACATTGTCTGTCTGAAACTAATCTGTAGGGACCCCTGTTATTTTCTTCTATATTTCTTCTAAAGACAAACAGCAAGAAAATCAGCATAAAATGGCAGAATCTTTGACTGTTGACAGCTTATCTGGGACCTTGGTGCTCGGTAATACTAAGGCAGTCATGCTGGAGAAGCATTCTTATGCGTGATGATCTTGGCACTTTGAACTTTGATGGAAATTGTTTATTGAGCTATAGTGACCTGTGTTATGCTAGAGCTGATTTCATAGGTGGACTTATGTTTAAAAAAGTAAACCCTTCAAGAAATTTAACACCTTTAAGAAAGCCAAGTGCACCTCTTCAAACATAAAAAAATAGTTAAACAAGCGAGCAAGACGGATACTATCTTCTGATCCTGATATGTGTTTTGAATGCTACAAAGCTGCTACCATTTGGAGATAGGGAAGAACAGGCAGGGGGAACTCGTTTGGCGAATACTATTGGATGTAAAGACACTTCTATTACCTTTTTGGCAGTTGATCTCATGTGAGAGGAACTGTTCTGCAGCTGTCCTGACTTCATGAAAGTTTTGTGAGCATTTAGTTAGGCAAACTTTGTAGCCTGCTAGGATCTTCCTGATGAGACACGTTTGAAGAGTTAGCACTTCTGGAATTCTTTCAAGACAAATTGTTTGCTGTTTCTACAACAAGCTCTTTAGCCAAAATGATTCATAAGAGACCTTGACTTAGTCTCTCAAAACACCATGAGATTCCCATCAAAAACCAAGAAATGATATCCCAATATACTTTCACAGAAGAATTTCAAAATAGCATGATGTTAGTGGCTATATGTTTATGTGCATGACGCTTAAGAACTTGAAACATCTGGCTTTATTTATTCTTAGATTTTAAAATAAAATTGAGTTGCCTTTCATGGAAAACCTGGGAGACTTAATTTTAGAGTTAGTTTCTTTTTTTATTTCAAATGCAGAAATGCATACGTTTGTGTACAGATGTGTGTAGAGAGGGGTATGAAGAATAAATGAAGGATATATTAGTGATTGACCTCTGAGTTAAATGTTGATAATATTTCAAAAAGTTGGAGTATTAATTGAGGAATAAGTGAACAAAAATGGTTTAAAATGTGAAATACCAGAAGGGAAACCATAATATCTTAAATCCAAAATGAACAACAACAACTCTCCTTCCCCTTCTCCCCCAAATCCCCAGGAGTGGGCAGGAGGGATGAATCAGGGGAAGCAACTGAGTCGTCATCACTACTGTTCTGGGTATGCTTTCTTATTTTAAAAATACATCAATACTGAAAATGAAACGTCTGTTTAGGGATTTATAGTAGTAGTTAATATGGACCCTAAGACTTTCCTGTAAGCTGTCTGCTCTCCATAGTTTCAGAAGTGCCCAAAGGGACAGTTCCTAGCAGTAGCCGTGGTAGTTGTAGTCTGAAAGCTTGTTTGCCATAGAGCCCTTTGGAAGATGTTTCCATGAAGCTTTGGTCTGCATATTTAAATAAAGTGAAATAACTTCGTAGTTATATTGATTGAAAAGAGTTTAAGACTAGCAAAAAAAAAAAAGAGTATTCATTCTTAAAATATTGATGCTAATAAATTGTTTTAGTAATTCTAAATTTTAATTGTAAATTAAAATTATTCCTATGTATATACATTTTAGCCCAAGGAAAGACAACTAAGTATTGAATATAACCTGCTGTAATTTAATTTTCAGATGAGCAAGAGGATGAAGATGCCATCGTTAACAGGATATCGTATGTATAGCTCTTCTTTGCAGAACTTCTTTTCCTGAATATATTGTTATGATAGGAATCTTGTATGCTTTCAAATAAATAACAGTCAATTTTAAATTGGACAGCCAATAGATTGCTAGAAGGCAAAGGAGGAAGATTTGATCAAGTGGTACCTTGTATTATGAAAGGCATGACAAGAGGCAAGGCAGTTTGGTCTAGGGCTTTTTTCACCTGTGGTTTTCCTGGTAGGGATGAAGTTGGCCAAAATATTGCATGAGGACCTGATGCAAGAGGTGGAATTTAATGCAAGACCTGCACCTCAGTTTAGGTCTCTAAAATGTAGGTGTTTGTACTGAAGGTAGGTGCTTAAGTTCCCACTGCAGTCGATCGAAGTCCTGTCAAGGGAGGCAGTGGATCCTGGAAAGAAAGTTAGCTCACCTTGAAGTAGACATCTGTATTTGATCATCTTAAAGCATAACGAATGGAAGACAAACACTTGTCAGACCTGCTGGTCTGCCAGCAACTTTCTCTCCTCTTCCTGTTCCTTTGTAAAGTTAGGTATTAATCTCTCCAATTTAAATATGTATGAAGATTTACAGAACATCTGTGAGCTGTTGCTGCTCTCTCAGTTACGTGATTTCATAAACTATGTGGACTTGCTACTTGCTTATTACAATGTTCTTAGCTCTTCCATGGCGGTACTGTCATCCTCTTGGAAGGGGAGCTCATTGAGTATTTTATTGATTTGTCTTGTACCCTGGGAAAGTGCTGAGTACATTGCAAGCTGTTCACTTTTAGTTGTGCATTTGTGGCAAGCTTGAAAGATGTACAAAGATGATATAAATCTTAGACGTGCTTCTCCCAGTAGTGTCTGATACTAATATTTTTTATGAATTTGAAATGCTTATTTGCCATAAGGTCTACTTCAGATCTAGAGAGAGAAAAATATATACTTTTAAATGCTGTGAAGCTCTTCCCTCTCAAGCAGAGCAGCATCTCTCCTGTGCTTTTAAGACTACAGCGAAGGCTCTTCTCATAGTGAAGGCTCTTCTAGATTGAATGATTTTTGTAGCAGCTGTGGTCTTAGCCTGGTCTGAATTTTTCAACATTCAAAGAGTAAAATTTGTCTTCTTGACTGTTATACCCCCTGCATCTATTTTCTAGCTTACCTCTACAACATATATCAATTATAAATACTGTGTTGTTCATGCAAAAACAGTGTAAGACAAGATTAGCACTTCCATCAGAGTAATAGCCTTTCATTAAGTGTTGTTATAAATATAAAATGCTGCTTGTTCTTTCAGCCTAAGCTTGCTTGTTCCTTAAGTGTGCATGCTATTTTCCAAAAATCAATAACTGTCAAGCATATGCAGATTGATATTTCTTTGCATAGCATAATTGTCAGGACGTAAGAGGTGGGTGGGGGGAGAAGATAAAGCCAAACTGCTGTAGCACCTTGAAAGACTGTAGTATGTTAGGTTTCACAATTCTGGCTTATAATACTTAAACATCCTTAAATAAAAGAAAAAAATACGTCAGAAACCAACAACAAAACCATGTAAGAATATATTTTTTTAAAATAAAATTAGTCACCCAGACTTTTTTCTGTAGATTAAGTGATGTGTCAATGAAGAATAAATCTGTAGACTGTTAAGGAAAAGTAAGATCTCTGTAAGCAACTTATTGCCATTCCTGTTGTAGGAATGATCTATTTAAGTTTATCTTTTTTGTCATGCAATTTTGAGAATTATTTCTAATTTTATTCTAGCATTGGATTAGTTTTGTAAGAATGTTTTTGTTGGTCTTATGTTTTCGAAGAACACAGTTCTTTTTAATGCCACAAGATGGCATTTGATATAAGTTGTATTTGGAATCTTAAAAGAATAAGCTTAAACATTTTAAGTAATTCTGACAATATCTCTGTATTGACTTTACAGCTATCAGAAAACCCCAAGCTATGACTTTGTTAAAGAAAAGCAATATTTTTTTCAGTTTGGTGTTAAAATACTTGTTTATGTATAATTATACTCACTTTTTAGACAGTAAAAAGCTGCTCTGCTTTTAAAAATTGTAGTAAGAATATAGAAATGGAAATTTTTTTCATTCTGAGTGTGTATGTGGGAAATTAAAACTAAAATAGGAGACTTATGAAAAGATAATCCATGAACTCCAATAATTTATGCTGTGTATGACATTGGAATTGGATGCATTCAAGTCCCAAGAGAATAATTGTGGTAGTTGGTAAAAAATAATTATTTTTACTGGACTCTGTAAACTACTTGGTATTTGAAATTTGCTTTTTGGAAGTGAAATATTGTGGAAATTGCAGTTTCTCCTGCCCCTTTACAATGTAAGAATGGATTGCCTTCAGATGCTGATTAATAGGTAGGCTAACTACTTTTTTTCCCCTGTTCAGAGCATGTTGGTGGTAACAGTGGTACATTTCTTTAAATTTCAGGCTGTTCTTGAGCACCTTCACTCTAGCAGTTTCAGCTGGTGCAGTCCTGCTTCTACCTTTCTCAATAATCAGCAATGAGATCCTGCTTTCTTTTCCACAAAACTACTATATTCAGTGGTTAAATGGCTCACTAATTCATGGTTAGTACTCAGCATAATGTAATTAAAATGGGTGTCTTCATTATACATGCACAGATATGTTCTTATTTTCAAACTGATAACTCCCATTTTCATTTAAGAAACTAATTGAATTGTTAATGTTATTGGCTAGTTGTTTTTGCTTCTGTGTGATATATCACAAAAGTCTGTCTTAACTGCTCTGTTGGGTTTTTTTAAAGAATTATGCAGAATTGATGGAATTAAATCAAATTCACTGCTTTTAATATTAATGTAGAATAAGAGCTACTAGAAGCTAACTTGAAAACACACTGTTCAAACTTCTTCCTCATGTGTTAATGCAAGATTCATAAACCTATCTGTTTATGATGATGCATATAAATTTAGTCTCAAAATAAAAAATTTGTTTTAAGAAACTTGCTAACTATGAGCGCTTGGGATTAGATCGTTAAATTCAACTGTTAGTGATTTATTTGTAAACAAGGAAAATGATAGAATATAAGTGTATCGAGTGTGGTAAAGAGGCACAATGAAAATGAACTATTTCAAGGAAAACAAGATGCAAGAAAAGAGTATTACTTGTACTTGCAGTGATGATGGCTTGATGTCTGGCAGAGTGAGTTTTGCATGCTTTCCAATATTTGTTAACATGCTTACGACTATGACATGTATAATGGATACTAATATTTGGAAATAATTTGGACACTTCTATGTGTCTAAGGGATTAAAAAACTGGTCGAAACAGGACACTCTTTAGTAGATTTGGCTGGGGAAAGAAGATAGTACCTTCACTATGTGAAACAACTTACTAAATCTGGAACAAATAATTTGTAAGTTAACTGTGCTGTCCTTTTTCTGTTCTTGTGAAGAGATAATAATCGGGCTTTGGAGGATTTTTCTCTGAAAAATGTACTCTTTTTGCTAAATGTCTAGTAATACTCACAAATCGCAAATTCATGAATTCCAGATCCAAATTTTTTTACAACAAACTAAATGTGGATAGGTGAAGACAGGAAATAATGCATATTGTCTGCTTTCTGAAACTAGTTGAGTATTTTTTTTGTGTTATCTGGACAGTAAAAGAATTTTTTTTAAACCCTTGAATAAAGAGGAGTTGACTGTAGGTACGGTGGTCAATGATGACCCTGACTGTGTTGACAGAGTAGTTTAAGACCTGAGAAAAGTGAGGAAGGAAAATAGTAGAATAAAGACATTAGATTTTAAGAGAGTAGACTTTGTCCTCTTCAGGAAATGTGTATATGGGACCTTACTGGAGAATGCCCTGAAGGCAAAGGAAGCCAGGAAAGATGCGTACTTTCAAGGATAACCTTCAAGCACTGTAATGTGCACCTCAGTGTGCAGGTGGTAATATGAGGTCTGCTTGGCTAAGTGGGGGAACTCCTGAGCTCAAAACTAAAAAGGAAGTGTACAGAAGGTAGAAGTAGGGATGAACTGCCCAGGAGGGGTGTAGAAATATTACCTGCGTTAATATCCTGGTATGGAATTAGGAAGGTCAGGGCACAGCTGGATTTGCAGCTGGTGAGGGGTTGTATAGAGCCAGCTTCTTCTCTGGGGCATGCAGTGAGAGGCAACAAGCAGTGTTGGCAGGACATAAAGCAACAATTCTTTACAGTGGGGATGGTTGAACACTGGAAAAGGTTGTTCAGAGAGACTGGGAGATCTAAATCCTTGGAAGTTTTCCAAAACTCAGCTGGCTAAAGCCCTGAGCAACCTGATTGCACCTGCAGTTCAGCTGTTTTAAGTAGCAGATCAGACTACATGACTTTAGAGATTCTTTCTAGTTGAGTTATTCTGTGATCTGTTTTGTTGCACATCATGGGGGTTGCTAATTTGGTATGTCTTCTATTTGGATGAAAAAAACCCAGCTAATTTTCATTTTTCACATGGATTTAGCTGCTCGGACACATTTATATTCTTTACTCCCGAACATGAAAAAAAATATTTAATGGAAAATAATCATTCCTTCTGTGTCTGAATTGACTTTGGAAAAAGTACAATAAAATACTTCAGAGAGTGAACATTATATAATAACCAATTCAGAAGTTTTCACTCTGTCAAAGTTGCTACAGTACTTGAGAAAATCTGGGTTAATTAGAAATCTGCTGGAAAAAGTAGCTGTCACATAGGAAGGCCTTTGAATTTTCCAGTGACCATCTTCTTTTGATTTTAATATGATAATCTTTTGAAAGTACCACTTTATGCATGCACAGTATAATTTATATTTCATAAGTCCAATAGTAATGGTTAGCAAGGAAGTAAATTCAGCATCTTGGTGTTTCCAAGTTCGACTGCGTATTGCAAAGCTTACGCTAGGGGTAGACATGACTGAACTAAACCAACATGTACCACAGTTGATGTGAAGACTTCAGAAACATCGGTAGATTTTTGGATCAGACCACGGGCTTCTATTACTGCAACTTGACAAAAATCAGTGTACTTTATTTCAAAACGTTACCTTGGAGAGGCGCTCCCTCTTGTGGTATTCAGTAGATTTGCACCATAGCATTGCACTGCTCTGTAAAAACTATTCCATGTAGTGGCAATACCTTTTTGAAGTTAGTTATGAAATACCTGTGCAAGTTTTGAGAGCTGATAGTGCTATCACAAGCACTCGAGCTCGGAAAATGTTCATATGTCCATAACACTCTGTCTAGCATAGCCTTCATGTATGGTTTGCTTACTGCTTTTCAAATGTTATCAAATGGGAAAATTTGTATTGCTTTAAAACACTTCGGTTTTGCTAGATTTGTCAATTACAGATATAGTCTGAGGACTTGAATGTAACATTAAGGGTTTTTATACGGTAGACTGTTGCATTAGTTGTGGCATATAGAAAATACATGCCTCTAACTTTTGAAACTAGGCAGAAAGCCCATACCTGGATTCAGTATAAACACTCTTCCTAATGCATGTTGAACTAAACCCAGAAATACTTCTGACAGTTGGATGTTCACTTGTGCTGTTGTTGGATACAGCCACCAGGTGGGGGTAAAACGTAATGAAACTGCCATGAATAAGAAAGATGAAAAATTCCTGAGGGTCTAATCTGTTTGCCAAAGACTGAAAGATTTTTCATTCTTATGTTTTATTAACTTGTTTTATGGGGGATATTCTGAGGTCGCTACGAATGCAAAAAATTTAAAATATTCTAATAGGTTGCTTAAAGCTGTTATATATGTTGATATCTGCAAGTCTCTTATGCAATTTTATGATGCAGTCAATGTGGTAGGAAATAATTTTTCTAAGTCTATTTTAATTTTTTTCTGAACTATCAAATTGGGATAAGAAATACGGTAGGAGAAGAGGGCCCTGTATGTTCCTTACTTTGAGGAAAGTGTATATGTATGTCAGCAGCAGTATAGCACTGTCCTTACTTCTCATAACTTTACATGCATGTTGTAGCTCTGTAGATTTATACTCTGTAAATATGGTTCCTATCAGCTGCTAATGTGTGAATTTTTGGATTTTAACTTCTTAAAAATAACCTCAGATGTACACCACTCTCCCCTCCCTTAAAATGCTCTGTACATACTATGCAGCTCCTAAGCACTGTTTTACATTAGATATACATGTAATAGAGCTGGTGAAATTAGGACAACCAGGTATTCAGCTTTACATCAGGTAACTGAATGCACTATCTGTCTTCAGTTGGAGAAAACCACTGAAATAAGACCTCCTCCCTGATGTAGTAGTATTTCTACTCTAACACTAGTGTCTTCATTTTCTGAAAAAAAAAGAAGGAAAAAAAAAAGTACACAGACTGCTTGAGTTAATGTACCTCTAGTAAGGGCTGTTAATGACATTCTTGCTGATGTTGCTATGTGTGAATGTTCCTTGAATGGTAACAGGAGCTTCCTGGCTAAGCAAATTCAAAAGGAAAAATCCCCCTCTTTGTTAACTGGAGTTTAGCCACCTTTAGGCAGTCTGTTTTCTTTAGCAATTGAGTATTATATTTCACGCATCTTTTGGAATTTTCTTGTTTTGTTTTCTGTAGTTTATTTGGTTAAGTTTGGTTCTTGGTGTCCTGGTGCTATCAATTGCTGAAGAGGTAGATTTCTTGGCCCCCCCACTTCCCTCCTCCCACCCTGTTCTTATTACTCTTTGAAATTTAATTTCATTTAAAGAAAAAGGAAGTATATATGGTGAAAGCATTTTTAAGGGGTTGTAGGTGAAGATAACGGCTGATTATTTTACATTTTAACTTTTTGGAATTTACCTCAATAACGAATTCCCCAGACATGCAGTTTAAATGTTTCTCTCCTTCCCTATTCTTTCCAAAATGGAAATTTCAAAGAAGAAAGCAAACAAGCCTGTACGTGAGAAGAAAGAAATAAACAAAGCTGTTAGTTCAAATTTTCTTATCATGGGGGATGTTCTTTTTTGGATTTCAGATGATATAATACAGTCCTGCAGAACTGTGGAAATGTGTGTGTTTTGGGGAAGGTGGGGGACTAAACCTGTTTTTCTCAACTACAAAATAAAAGCTGTGTTTTCAGGATGCAGAACATGTGACACTAGTTAAACCTTTTAGCTACACTAGTACTAAATTGCACGTAAGCTTCTGCTTTTATAAAGAAGAAACACCGCATCCTGCACAGCTTTTGATAGGATGATGATGGGTTCATGTTTATGCACCAGAAACTGGCTGTTCAGAAAGTGTTCAGCTTAGAAAATCTTGATAGAGCAGATACCCTTAATGGAGATCAGTTATCACTTCAGGTTGTTTTCTAAACCTTTTCCCTTCCTGCAGATGTCACATGTGTCTTACAGATGTCCTAGTTTTAGTCAGTTGTTGATTTTTCACCTAGATCACAGAATGGTTGAGGTTGGAAGGGACCTCTGGAAATCGTCTAGTCTGACCCCCCTGCTCAAAGCGGGGTCAGTTAGAGAAGGCTGCTCAAGGCAGTGCGCAGTTGGGTTTTGAGTATGTCGAAGGATGGAGATTACAAAATCTCTCTGGACAGCCTGTTGCAGTGTTTGACTGCACTCACAGTGGGAAAAGCTTTTTCTTACATTTAAGTTGTGTTGGTTTTTTTTTTTGTGCTTATTGCCTCTTCTCCATTCACTGGATACCGCTGTGGAGAGTCTGACCCTGTTTTCCTTTCCCCCTCCCTCATCAGATATTGATATACATTGATCAAGTCCTCTCTTCTAAAGGCCAAACAATTCCAGCTTTCATAGCCTCTGCTTGTGTGACAGATGCTTCAGTCCATTAATCATCTTTGTGGTCCTTTGCTGGACTCACTCCAGTATGGCCTTGTCTGTTTTGTATTGAGGAGCCCACAACTGGATGCAGTGCTCCCAATGTGTGCCAGCAGTGCTGAGCAGAGAGGAAGGATCACCTCCTTCGACCTCCTGGCAACACTTCTCCTAATGCAGGCCAGGATGCTGTTGGCCACCTTTGTTGCAGGGGCACATTGCTGGCTTGTGTTCAACTTGGTGTCTGACAGAACCTCTAAGGCCTTTTCTATAAAGCTGCTTTTGGGACGATTGGTCCCCAGTGTGCGCTCTGCCCATTGTCCAGCCTGTTGAGGTTCATCTGAATGGCAGGCCACTGCTCCTCCCCACTTTGTATCATCAGCAAACTTGCTGAGGATGCACTCTCTCCTATCATCCAGGTCATTAATGAAGATGTAAACCCCAGTATCGACGCCCTGGGGTACACCATTGTGACTGGCTTCCAGCCTGACTTTGTATTGCTGGTCACAACTCTTTGAGCCTGGAAACTCAGCCAATTTTCAGTCTACCTCAGAGTCTACTTACCTACCCCATAATTTATTAATTAGTCTGAGGAGGTTATGGGAGATGATGATGAAAGCCTTACTGGAGTTGAGATAAACAACATCCACTGCTCTCCTCTTGCCCACTGATTCTGTCATCTCATCGTGCAAGGCTGCTGTTGCTGTTACCATGAAATCTTCTTTTAATTTGGAGGTGGTGATGGCATTTGTGTATTGCTGATGTTAAAAGCCATGATTTGTCTAAGTTTCCCTTGAGGGAAAAAATACGGAAGGAAGTGAATACACAGAACTGAATTTTGTGAGATTTGCTGATGGTGGTAAAATACTTTTGTCCTGTAAATTTTTTAAACAGTTATCTAAAGAGCCTTGAGTGGGATATTGTGGAAGTTGACCTGAGTTTACAGTCTTGTCTTCCAAGATTTCGGACAGCTGCTGCTGTTTAAGTTGGTATCCAATTTTTATTTGAAGATCGTTATGCAGACAAATTTTTCAGCAATGACCTGTAAATAACTATGTATCCATAAAAACCTGGCTTCTGTTAGCACTGGTATGTATACTACATTGTTATTATGTAAGGGAGAAAAATGTAGCATCTTTCACTTTTAAAACTGAGAAACTTAGAATGTAAACTCTTTCTTATTTGTTGCAGGTTTATGGAATCTTGCTTCTCTTTTTTCAAATTTATGTTTGTTTGTGTTGATGCCCTTTGCCTTTTTCTTCCTGGAATCGGAAGGATTTGCTGGCTTAAAAAAGGTAGGAAAATACTGTTAAATACAGAGTAATTAGAGTATATGTTCCATTTTCAGCCCTCGTTTCTGATGAAACTGAAATGACAAAATTTGGGAGGATTTGGTGCTGGGATGTGTATGCTTATGTGAATGTTTATGTACAGATGTGCACTCTTGCACAAGCAGGTGAAGCGAGTATACAGTATCTGGCTGTGAGTAAGCTTAAGGGGAAGAAAAAAGTCCTTGAAAAGCCATGTATACTGAGATCAAGAAAATTACTTAACTTGTCTTTTTTTTAATAACGAAATGTTTTAATTGGTATTTTATTTTTTGGAAAATGATTTTTTTTGGATGCTAGAAGAAGAGAAGGTTCAGTAAGTACACTGGAAATAAATTAACAAAGGAAAGAAGTACAGGCTTCTTACTAATGGGAAGGGTAACAGATGACCCAGAGACAACAAGCTCGATTTGTGAATTTTAAAGATTACAGACATCCCAAAAATGGTTCAAGTGTGGTCGGTATTAACAATAATATGTTAAGAAAACTGTCTTAAATGGGTAGAGAATAACTAAAAATATTCAGCTTAGTTGAACATATTCAAGTTGAGAGGGCTGAATATTTCCGTGAAGCATGTAATTTGGCAAAGCAATTTCTTAACAATAAGATGATAACTATTATATTAATATGTGAACTAAAGAAATATAATGAAAAATTACTATAATGGGAGGCACAGCAAAAGGAATTTCAAATCATAAATATCAAATAAATTAAACTGGAACGACTGTCTGGGGACCAATTGTAGCAAGTTTTCATTAATCTTTATCATCCAAATGATTACACTTTTGTTTTTAATGATACTACACTTGAGGGAATTCTGCGCCCTTTGGATGACAGTTATTAGAAAGCAAAGGATCGTGAAAAGTGGTCTGAAATCAGGAAAATGAAATGCATTAATCATGGGTGCAAAAGACTATGAGTCATCGGTGGATCACACGTAACATAAATCGACAAGGGGATGATTGTGGTGGGAAGGAAAACATAATTCCTGGTTGCATTGACAGGAATGTGGCATGGAGGCAGTGAAGTTGCCATTTTTGTTCTTGGTGGAATTGGGGAAAACTCAGCTGAAGTACTGCATCCAATTTGGGATTTTAGGGTTCATGTAGACACTTAAGAGAGAAAGCAGAGGACAGCAAAGAAAATAAGATACTTAAAAAGTGCAACATGAAGGAAAATTTTAATTCAGAGAGGATAATGTGAAGAAACAGAGATTTTATTCTATAGCTGAAGCTACCGGGAGATTACATAGACTGAGCATTATAGCTGTGTCAGAAAGGACCTGCAGGACACAGCCAAGATGGTGTGTAGATTCTTGTTTGGTGTAGCCCGTTCTGAGCTCGTTGATGCTACTGCAGTGTTACTTTGTATTGACTGAACTGTAGATGTCTCCAGGTTACTTCAGTTACAAGTTTGGATGGCCAAGCTAATGAGTTCAACTTCAAAGGAGTCTGGTGATGGACTAAGTATTGTCCATACTACTATGTTTAACTCTACTTATCCAACTTGGCTGGAAAACACTCTCCTCTGCTGCTTCCATCACTTCAGGTATCTATAGGGCTAAGAAAACTTTTAGCAACTCCGTTTGTCCTTTCAGTTTTCAGGTGGAGGCCACTCCGTTTTCCTTTTGACTCTAAGTATCAAGACACAGCTAATGTATATCTTTTCTTCTAAAAAAGAAGTGTTAACTGATTTTAGTGGGGTTTGTGTTTCCTGCAGTCCAACCAAAACCAAGGATTCTTTCCGTTAGTGTACCATGTACGGTACTGCTGGTGTGTCCCCTTGACTTGTAGATTTCTGTTGACTTCAGCAGCTGCATTATGTATCCCAGCTGCATTAAACTTGCACTTTACATAAAACTTCAATAGTTAGAGCGTAACTTCTAAACTTACGATACTGGCTATCAATAAATCCCATTCAAGATAAATAGGATCACCGTTACATATTTACACTTGGAAGCATTTGTAACTCCAGATGAGATAGAACCATAATCTGTCTGCAGATGTCAGGAAAAAGATGATTGTTGGTGCTTTAGAGTAGTTTTGCTTCTTCATGGGGATAGATGAGATCAGATTTTAGTATCAAATCCCATCTATTGTGAGGGGGGGAAAACCCAATTTTTGGATGTTTTTGTTACTTTGACTTCTCCTGGGTGTTTTTGGTACATCCCAGAAGCCAAATGTGATTCCTAGTACAGGTACTCAAGGTATTTGTCCGATGTCTGTTCTACCTGGCTGCTCTACTTAAAAGTATCCAAAATGGATGCAGACATATACTGAACTGTTTTACCAGCTTTGAGTGAGCCCTAAAGCTATTGATGAAGATGTAGGAATTGTAGTCCATTTTTGTATGAACATACCTTGTCTTTGGTCACTTTTCTTAGAAAGCATGTGGTAAATGTCACTTTTGGACTAAGTTGATAGTTAAAATTGAATGTGCTGTTCTGTTCAAATTCTGATGCAGATAAATGATTCTGCTTGCAACAAGTACTCTCTCTATATACTAAAGACATCACATAATAGGGTGATTGGAATCTGGGAAAATTTATGCTTTACTGAACTCAGGATTACATGTAAGCTTTTCAGTTACAGAATCCGTGAAGGGTACTTCCCATCTTTTTTACTTTTCTTAGATTTTGGCACATTGCTTATCTCTTTTCAGAGAAGATTATGAGATCATCATCACCTTGTAGAATTCTGGTAGAATTCTGGTACTTCAACAGATTATTTTGGTTTTGATTATACTTGTGCGAGTTTAAAAAAAAAAAAATGTTGTATTTTGTCATTCATCACATCACACTAATGGGCCAGAGAGATAAAACATCATTCAAATGCTATTACTGTTAACTGGCAAAATCAGATTTTAGTGATCTCAATTTAAAAGAACACTTCATACATTTGGCAAAACTTGCAGCATTTAAGAGAAGAGCGATCTACTGTGAATGTAAAGACATTCAATAAGGAGGTTTGGCACGGGATATGTAATCTTTAATCTTTCAGTTGGGAGCTGGATGCAAGGAGTAGGGAAAAAAAAAAAAAAAGCAGTTCATTCTAGATACCCAGCTCAGCTCAAAACTTGGATAAAAAGACTTCCAGTGGAAGTTTTTATGCAGGTCATCTTGAATTTGTCATAGAATTACCTTCCTTATAATGGACCAGATAGGTCACTTAAGATTTAGGTGTGCACAGTTGAGATAACTATTAGAAGGTGTTCATGTAAGAGTTACTTGTTGGATTTTAATAGAATTTCTGAAAATTAATGGTTAAAAGAGGTTCAATTCTGAAATTGAATTCATTTTTTAATGGATTTCTTTGTTCAGCTTAAATTGCGACAGTAATGTCATTATCACATATGGGTCTAACCCCCAAAGTTTTTAGCCATCTGTTTGAGTGTTTATCATAGATTATGCTATAAAAGTTGATTTTTCTCTGATCACTGTAATGTGAACTTTTTGCAAGCTATGATATTTCAGATAGCTCATAGGTTACTATCACAAGCTTTGTATATTCCATGTTCTTGTAAGGAAGTGTTGCCCCTTCAACTGTTTAAGTTTCATGAATCAGAATGGGTTTGATTAACCATCTTCCAATTTACTATGGCTTTTTTTCTTGGTTGCTAGTATACTTTCTAAATGGCACATGGCCCCTCTTACAGACTCTCTTCGATTCCCCAGGGCAACAGTTTAAAACAACCAAGGACTTGCATATTGTGCAGAGGAGAGAAATACGGAAATTAGGCACTCACCATGGACGGATGCAGTGTTGTACTGAAAATCAAACTGATTCTCTGCCTAGTTTTTAATTAAAACCACTATGTTAATTCAAAAAGGGTATTTTGGGCCTAAGGGGGTTGACCATGCCCTTTTAAAGAGCTTAAGTGCTCTTCCTTGCTATAGGTTATTTCCATTTAATGGCAGTTGCAGACTTCTGTTATCAGGAAAATAATTGCAAAAGCAACATTGGAGGTATATTTTATATGTATGTGCATATGTATATCTTTGTGTATATATGTGTACATGCCATGTGTGTATTTGTGCACACATACGTATTTTCATGCACATGTGTGAATTGGGTTTTTCAAGACTATTGAAGTAGTTGGAGGTCATTGTGATATATTACACCTTAGTCTGTGATATTAACTGAGCTATTGGAGTACTTGAAGTAACTTTAATCTCCTGTATTGGTATTAAAAACTTTTTCATATCTCTCTACATTCTTCTTGTCTTCCTTTGTGGAGTCTGTGCATAAAGTTATATTTCTTGTACTCTCAATTCTTTGTCACTGGCCTTCTCAAAGTCTGTAGTACAGTTATGAAAGAAAGATGTCAACCATGTTTCTTATTGTCAGAATTAACCTCATTCTGTATCATTCTCTCCAAAAAAGGAAAATTGTAGAATTTGCAGTCGAGTATCTGTAGTTCACAGTGCTGATGTTTCCATGCGTGATAACAGACTGCACAGAAAATTACGTGTGTGCTGCTGTGTGAAGGAGACAAGCATTTTTGAGGAGATAATTGCTATACCTTTTCTTGACCTTTAAAATATGCTTTCTCTTGATGTAACTTCAACTGAAATTTGTATTTGTTTGAAGTTGACAAAGATAAAGATGTTAGGAGTAATTTCCTTGTAAGAAAATACAAATAGTGCAATTTACCGCCGTGAGAAACTGGAATAACTGGGTATTGCATAATCACGACTGTAGAGTTTTAAAAAGGCTTTATGAAGTATTTTACCTTAATACTGATCTTTGAACTTGAAGTCATGGCATAAAGTTTAACATGAGCGACAGCAACATCCTGACCAATTATCCAAATTATCCAGACATCCCAAAATGTTCAGAACACAACACACAGAGTCTGTGGATTAAGAGGTTAACTCCTGGAACATCAAAAGAAGTGCATGATAATAAAAACAAATAGTACAAAAATTTGAGGTAACTTCCTTGCTTAATTAATTAGGTAAACCAGGT